AAACTCGGTGCACTTAATTACCGCGGAATGGTAAAGCAATTTGTTGAAAATTATGCAAATCGGACTAAAATTACTCCCGCTTCCCGTATAACGGAAAATTTCAGAAATTCGAGAACTCCGATATTTCAATAGCTAAAGACGCTAATTTAATCCAAGTTTATAGTTACAACAATCCCCTAACAATAAATAAGACTGCTATAGATTTTTAGGAATTGGGCGTGGCATCGCCCTAAGAAGTTGTATTTCGGTAACCACTTAATCGATTTGTAAATACCCCTACTTACCAAGCAAAGGTAGTTTAGAGAAAGTTGAAACAACAATATTTGATACCTGCACCGGGTATATAAAGTTTGGTTTCGACCGAACTTATACTTTTTTACTATTTTTATAAAAAATGTATGTGTAAGTTGTTAAAATATTCATATTAAAATTTGTGGTGCAAAAAGCCAATATATCTCAATGTTCTTTCAATGTATGTAACATAGTATATTATATCTTATCGCAATATAAATAAATGAATAAAAGTAATAATCTTACGGGTGGCACCCCTACACAGAGATCTTAAAGCTTCTATATTTTATTATTAAAGCTTAATAAAACACCTTCCGTTTGATACTCATATTTTGATATTAAGCATACATTTCATAATATTCGTAATTGCAACTATTTAAAGAGATGGCAGCCCCACTTAAGTATTTTTTTTTTTCAATATCTTCAAACGCTTTTGGTTTTTGTATACCAATCGAAGTGTGCTGTTGAGCCTTTGAATAATTTAAAATTTTCAGCTAGTGGGCAGGCCTATTTATAAATGTCCTTTCCACAAACTTTGTACAGAAAATTCCGACTAGCATGGCATACATTTCAACTAATCCGCTGAAACGGCTAAGACAGGAAAAATGTGAATGCATGTGTCTTCCGGATTTTGTTAAATTTTTTGGACATCCGACACGGTTTGAAATACCACGTAATCTGTTGCCTTGGACATTGGATGAGCTATGAAAGAAAAGTATTTGTTTTTCTTTTTTCGCGTTTTAAAAGTAACCCAACAACTGTGGCCACCACGATCCATACATCACTTAAGCTTC